TTCAGCGAGTCCTCCGATGAGGTGGATCTACTGCTGCAAATCCAACAGCTCCTCTACGGCGCCATGGCGGTTTTCATGGGTTCTTCCGATCTTCCATCTTCCCTTTTTCAATTGGTACTTGATCTTCGCGCGTGGTGGGGGGTGAAACACCTTTGGGGGGAGTGTCGTCGCCTCCACGACGACCGTTCACGGACGGCCCGTTGGTCGACCCAACGGACGCCCGGCGGTTTCTCGACTCGACCGAACGATGCCCTCGACTCGGCCGAGGCGAGTCTGGGATGCCCTTTGTCTCGCCTGCAGTGCTGCGGGAGACGTTCCAACGCTTCGAAGCGTTGCTACGAAGTGAGATGGCACCGTGGCATGTGGGTCCAGTTAGGGCAGGACCTCAGGCTTGGAGGTGGCTGAAGGGTATGGATCCAGCCTGGAGTTTTCAGTAGTGTTTTGTCACGCGCCTTTGAGCAAATCCAGCGAACACATGGAGTTCTATGAAGGTCTCCTTTGTGTCAAGTGATGGGTATATAACTCGCCTTGGAGCCTCCCGAAAACGATCCACATCAAGAGCTTGCCCCAACTATCATGGCATGTCACATTTGTGTACGGATACAGATTTTCAATGATTTCCCCAAGAGATTTGTAAATGTGACTTGTTGGTCCGATAAGCTTCGCAAGCCATTGTTCTTTTGACCCATCTTGCTTATGAGATCTTCTGCACCTCACAGTTGGCTCATCGGGCTCATTCGCACCACCTGCGCAGATGTGTTCTCCCAAGTCCAGAAAGACCCACGTCATGGAGATCCAAGCATTGTCTCTTCCACCTCCATGGCCATTTCCAAGACAGTCCAATATCCAAAGACAGACAAACTGCTAGGGGACTGATCCTAAGCTGAGCAGACCGTACGCCATGCTGTACCTGGAACCTGTTCCCATGCGCAGGTCACCAAGTGTTTCCTTTTTCTCTGGGGAATGCTTGGCATCATCAATGAAACAGAGGTACCTGAGGCAACTGGTTTTGCTGGTTTTGTGTTCACCTTTGTCTTGTTTCTTTATCCTGGAAGTCTAAGACCACTGAAAGAATGTAGTTTCGGATGACCCTTTAGAAACATATAAAACATGCATCAATCCACAACATGTTGTTTGTGAACTTCGGTTGCTGAAAAATGGCTCAGGAGAAGCTTCGCGAGGAGCTGGTGGCCAACATGGAGGAGAAGGCGACCTGCTCGGTAGGACTCTTGTACTCGCCCGAAAATACTCTGACCACCTTCTCAGAGATTATGTCGATCTCAGAGATTATGTCGATCTCGGTATGAAGTGGTCATCTATAAGGAGCAAATGAGGAGATGACGAGTCAGTTGGTTGGCATCAAATCAAAGGATCCAACATGTTGGATGAGCTCAGATGATGCCAGATGGCTTCTAGGCTTTACTCGTTTGGCCAACGTCAACCTCGTTCACTCCGACGGCCTCACCTTCTCCGAGCCTCACCCTCTCTCTGCCAGGCGCGATCAGAGGACTTGGACTTCCTGGCGGAGCAGCTTCGACTCTGGCAGAATCAACTGCAGAATCCTGGCGGAGCAGGAAAGCTTGGAGAACGAGGTTCGGGATGTGCGCCGGTGGATGAATCCACTTGTTTCCCTTTTTGGCAGGTGCTTCTCATGGGTGGATCGACAGACCTCCCGAGGTTCAGGAACGGAACCTGGGAACGTTTTGGACGTCCCGGAACTCTCGGAGAGTGGATGGAATGGGGTCAGGAAGTTCTGGGTGCCCAGTAAAAGCGGTCCGAACAGAGTAAGACGGGTTCACTGGTGAGAGAGAGGCATGTTGACTTCGCTGGAGGTGGATTCTCACTCTGTGAAAAAGGCGTTTGAAATGACCTTCGTCCTCTCCACTTTTGAGATGGCATAATATTGCTGCAGTCTTTTGGTAGTGGGTTGAACTCATTGTGGCCTGGCATACTCGTTGTGCCGAAAATCGCAGGAAGGTATAGCAATAGATGCGGTGATTTGAGTATACTGCGACCAAGCCACATGACCTCATCGCCTGCAGTGTGGTGCCGAGGATATTGTGGCAAACTTTTGAAAAGCTGACCACTGAGCAGGAGGTGGATGCAGCCATTTGGCGAAAGCCCTTGGCTGCACGCTGTGTGAGCTGCGATCGGAAGGCGGGCCCGCCATTTCACAAACTTGGAAAAAACAAAGCTCTGGCTGAAAAATTATATACATTGGTTTCAGAGTAGTGAGTGGATACCCCCCCCTTTTTTGTTTTCTTTTCTCAATGGGGTCCATTAGAACCACCAAACTGGGGGATTGTGCCCTCTACTCTGAACCTATGAAAGCTCGGTGCCATCCAGTCATTCAGTTCGCGAAAGAACATGACGGGTCAACCAAGGGACGTCCAAGAGCGGACTCCGGCAAGCGACTGATCCTGGGTGATTGGTGGGTTCTAAAGATGAACTTATCCTGAACTCTAGAATCCATCGCTCTCCAGTGACAGGCCTGGAGCAGGGACATTGGGTGTTTTTTTCACGGTGGATGCGAGCAGTTTCTTCAGCGAACCACAGTGACACAGGGTACAGGGGAAAGTCCATACCATGCCTTAGTATGCCTTAGTCACGCCTGACCTATACTTGGATGCCTTCCCCCCAGTGCTGCTATGCTGCTTTTTGAGAGAAGTCGCGCCTCAGTCGCCGAAAAGTGCAGAACACCATAACACCGTGCTGGTGCCGCCACATGGTTTTCAAATAGAGTCTTATTGACCCAAATCCTGGTTGTGGAAGCGCTCCTAGTTTTATGATGTTTTATGTATGTTAATATATATACATATGATATATAATATCTTCCATTGAGAAAAGCTGGTGGACACGAGTGGAACCCTGCTTTGAACAGACCTGCTCCTCCTTTTTTTGAATCCTTGCATGAGTTCGGCTCTTGATCGGTTCACCGACCATTCGCATCCCTCCAGCCTTTCCTGCCTTGATTGGAGCTCAATATCTCGGGTCTGTGCATCAACTCAATGGGCAGTATCATACCATCTCCACTCACTGAACTGAAACACAACCTGTACTCTTGAGCCCACCCGCACTATCCACTCCGGTTCCCAGGCACAACGTCGACATACCAGGCACCGTACGCACGGCGCGGCATGCACCAGGTGGACATCAAGGGTCTCCTCTTCGACCGTGACACCCCGCAGCTCCCCACCGGCGCCAACAGCCCCAGTCCCGAGCGTCACCTCGTCGCGCCGGTCGCGCCTCCGGGTCCACGCGCCACCTCGGCGCGGCGGGGCGGCCGGGGACGGTCGCTTGGACAGCGGGTGGAGACGGAGAGTGGGTGTGTTGGTCCAACTTCAGAATTTGGAGGTTCCAACGGGGTGTGTGCTGCTTATAGGACGGAGCCGATTCACTCACGAGGAGTAAAAGCCAAGAGGAAAGAACAGGCAGGAGGTGGGGGGACAGAGGGCATTTTGCCCAGGGATATTGAAGCTGGTGGATAGAGAAATGTTTGATAGCAGGGGACCAGAACAAGTTCCAAACACTAAACTGGAAGAACACCCACTTCGCCGTGATGTCAGAGGTCACCGGGGCCACACACGAAAACGACGAGCTTGTTCTGTCCCTCTCGGTTCACACCTGACCGATGTCCATGGCTCAAAACATAGGGTATCAGCCGGCCCACAAAAATGGAGACCTTTCTCCACAAAACAGTTCAGACATCGTACTCGTAGGTCGTTTCGGGATCCTAGAGCAGCTGAGATGTATAAATTCTTGCATCACTTTGCACATCCAAATCGGTGCAGAAGTTCTTCCTTCAGTCCATTGTGTGGTATCGTCGATCGTGCGATCCTTCCGCAGGAGTCCGACTGCTTTTTTGGAAGAGATCCACTTCCCACTAACATCCCTACCAGGAAGAGGTGGATGACCCTCAAAGCCTTGACAGATCTGTTCAACTGTCCCAGAGAACACCGAAGGGAAGCAGATGGTCAATAGAGCTCCTGTTATGGGATTCCCAATAAACTTGTAAATCCCTCGAGATACTTACACAATAGCTTCAAACAGGGACGCCATCCAGACGCCATCAGGAACCTTCCAGCCATCGACGCCTGAGAAGCCACGCACCGGGCAAACCCGGTGGAGTCTTCGGTGTTTGATCCGCGCTGGTTGGCATCGAGCGCACGGGTCCAGTTGAGCGCTCCAAGCAGATGACGCTGTGAGGTTCGAACGACGCAGTTCCATGTCGGGTGGGCTTTTGGACCCTCCAGGGCTCCGCAGCATGTGACGAGGATAGCACCCTTATGTCCCAAAATGTCTGCTGGTACCAGGGTGATCCAGGCTTCAGACGGTCATTCGATGCCCACCATCGCCATGCACCGATCGCGACGGAGAAAGAACGATCCGCCGATCTGCCACGGACCTGCAAAGCAGGTGGACCGGTCGGACCAGCGACGGTCGAAAGGTCGGGAGGTCGGACGCCCGGTCCGCGGGTGGATCGGATCCCGGTTCCGTTGTGGATCGCATGTCGGCATGTGGGTCACAGTATGTTGCGGATGTACGTCCGGTGTTGTTTCTATATGTGATTTACTGATGTACTTTGTACTAATTGAGTGCTTTGGCTCGAGGAAACTGCATTACAATCAAACACTTCACGTGCTCACATGTCACCTTTGCAAGGCAATCGTGGGATTCGTCCAAATGTTTGGTCTACTTGTTGCTGGTTGAGCGAAACGGGAGGGACATGTCAGGTACCTTTGGTCGGACTCCCATGGTGGGGAGACGCAGGGGAAATCCATGGAGTCGGTGTTCAAACCCGTGTTCGACGGTTTTCCGGTCACACCCTGGGTTTTGTTTGAGGCAAGTTGGTCCAAAGGGTGTGTTGTTTTTCACCGGCAGGTGGATCCGGACCACACATTCGACGTGTTTGGCGTCGTGTGAGATTGGTCTAAAGAGTTGCCGGCCGTCCAGTGACGCCCGGGCGTTCGTTTACACTTTCGGCCACCCGAGTTCGCCAGGGGGTCTGATGGCGCGCTATTTCGTGGCCAACCGCGCGGCGGGCTTTTCAGAGGTGGCCGCTCGGTGCAACGACTGGCGATGCATGGGGATTTGCGACGAACTGCAGTAGGTGGCCGGGGAAAACCAGGTTTAGCTGTATCAGCAGGTGACGAGCAGATACGAGCAGTAAGTCGGCCAATGGCGGTTCCAAAGATGAACCAAACTGAGCAAGCGTTTTCAGATTGATTTAGCAACTAGGGAGGACCCAGAGACCCCTCAGACCCCTGGGAAGAGGACAAATATCGACAAAAAACATGTTATCACCCCATGGGTTGGGGTCTCACTAGTATAAGCCGTACAAACCCATATAATTCAACACATTTCAACACATCCGACACATCCGTTGTTGAATTGATTTGTTCTTGCAGTGATGAGTATCCTTTGCAGTTGTGGAGGCATCGTTCATCTCCTCTGGAATATGTTTTTTCTTATCCCTAGAGGGCAGTGTGGAAAGCCAAAAACGTTTGAGAAAGCGAATCGCGAAAGCACCACATATAAAACAAGTTTAGACGTGAAGGCACCCTTTGCACTAAGATATGTCTCGCGAAGGCTTGCGAAGGCAGATGCAAAGGTGTGCTTCCAGTGTATAGGCCCCGTAGTTGCCAAAACAACACTGCTCATATCAACCATCAAAATCCATATCAATCCTTTATGGGGCACCAACCCAAATCAACCCAAATCCAAAAGATTCTTCGTCACTCGCCTCCGCGCGGATTGTTCGTCGACGTCAACATCAGCGAGGTGAATCTCAACCTGACTTCGGATCTGGGCACCGACACGGTGCCACCTTCGACCGGACGGACGGGACAGGGGACATGGGACACCGGATAGCGGCGGTTGGAGAACAGCAGTAGGGAGTCCAACTAAGTTCAGCTCAGTGCAACTGAGTTTGACCCATTTTTTTTGCGTCGGGGGAGTTTCAGGAGATCAGTGAACAGGGATTGAGCAACAAGAACTGAAGCACAAAGGGTGCAAAGGGTTTCAAAGACATCATGAAACACTCTTCTTTCAGCATATTGCAAGCCCTCCCATGTTTGGTCATTCCTGGTCATTCCTTGCTTGAGGAGAACAATTGAATTTGAACCCACTATACCAGTCTATACCGAGAACCACATATATTCTGCTGTAGTATGTTCTACCCATTCACATGGTCCATATTTTGCAAGTCCGTGGTTTCCATGCCGTGATTGAAGTGCACACTCAAAAAGCCCTACTCAGAAAGAGATAAACGGGCAGTGTGTTTAAGTCTTTGTTTAGAAGCGGGCCCCCCAGCAGACTATGGTGATACAGCAAGGCAACGCTAGGTTGGCGCTAGGTTTCTTCATAACAAGACAAGCAAGCAGGAAAAGAAACAAGCAGAGAGCAGGAAAAAGAAGAAGAAGCAAGAGGAGAAGGAGAAGGAGAAGGAGAAGGAGAAGGAGAAGGAGAAGGAGAAGGAGAAGGAGAAGGAGGAGAAGAACACTTTGTACCGATGCATGGAAAGGAAAGGCCTGATGAATACATCTTAAGCATCGCAAGAAACAGCTATGCCGGAAGATCGAAGCTCCATGTCATGTCTTCTGGGGATCCGAATGCTTCATTTCATGTGGGAATTCCCGACGCCCGGCGCCTCCGTTGCCGGGCGCTTCGGGCGTTCTTCCGGGGGCGGGTCCGCTGTGAGGTGCGTTTTTCGGCCCTTGTGCTGCAGCCACCGGCCTTGAGTTCCTTAGAGGCTGGGAATAAGTGGACGACTTGAGAGAGGCGTCAGGCACTGGGTGTGGCGGTCCTCCGAGTTCGGGTTCACTTGGAGTATGCGTTGTGTGGGCACCATTTCGACAACCCAACTTGCACTTGCGACCGCCAAAGGGCAAGAAGCGAACATAACGCCTTCTTCAGTGCAGTGCAAGGCTTCTTCATCTCTTCTGACTTTGCAGTCACTTCCAATCATCCGTCGACCGTCTCACCGCTTTTTCAGGTGGAGCTGCTGGACCTTCTGGACGATGTCAACGTCACACCCACCCTGCCGCTGGACTCTGCGGTGTCGGTGCTGGGCCTCGGTATTTTTTTATCGAACCCCTAAAGTTTACTGTTTTCAGGAATCAGTTCAGTGTGGGGTTCTATCTGATTTTGAGACCAATGGTTGCTTGTGATGTGACCAACGATTGCCTATAAAGGCATGTTCTTTCTGGGGAAGGGGGCTCGAGTCCCGTTGATAGGACTTCTCGACTTCTCAAAGGGGAGAACCAAAAGCTGGACCACGTTCCTTGAGATCGAGTTTGCTTGTTCTTTGTTGTGTTTCTTTTGAAATACATTTTGATAACTTTTGTATTTGTATGAGATCTACCAACATACAAAACAACCCAGTGAAGTCCATCCAAAAGGACGGAGCGGAGTCTCACCGCCTGGAGTGAGCGAAACCTACAAAAGTTCCAAGGTTGACTGTTGGGGTTTCGAGGTCCAGGTTCACTAGGTTGTTTTCATCATTTTTGAAATGCAGCTTTCTGGAAGAGCAGTGAATAGATCCACTGGGATGGGTTGTGATCTACAGATTAGCACAGATGATCTCACAGATGTGATTCGCTGAATGGCTTGCTGAGGGTGCCTCCGTTTGCTCTGGACTATGGCTTCAGTGTCATGGATGCAGGCATGACGGCATGACGCAGGTGCGGCAGTGAGTCCATGGCTGTACTTCATTCCAGTTGTTTGGTGGCCTTGATGGATCGGCCGTGGGCGTGGACGTCGGCGTGGCGTCTGCGGGCGCCTCCGCCCCCAATGGGGTGAGGAGTCGGTGAGGAGATGGGAGCCTCCGACAAAGAAAGAGAGCAACATGAGCAACAGGGTTTTTCCCTGAGGGTCAAACATTCTAAAGTGCACCTTTTGTTCACCTTTGATAATCGATTCACACAACATCAACTCATACCAGGACTATCCATTCGAGGTGTCCAATGGGCTACCCCAACACGACTGAAAAAGGCTTCAGACACGCCAGGAGGGTCCAGGCTGTCTCTTCATTTCACCTCTGGTCGATTCATCCCTCCCGGATCCCCTGGAGCCTGAGACGGGAGCCGAGGTGAGGTGGATGGGCTGAACTTGGCACGTCCAGGCAAGCGGGGCGGGAATGAATCGGTGACGATCGGGACACCAAACTGGACAACTGACCTCAGAAGGATACCTTGGACAGCCTTGAGTTACTTCTTTAAAAACGACACGGTGACACGGTCCAAATTTTCTGGACCACTCAGGCACCTCGTGTCTTTTACAGCTAGTAGAACGCAACACCTCCGCTTTCGACCTGGGCGTTTCTGCGGATCTCCGTGGCCTTTTTTCGCGTCGCCGATGGAGCGGTGCTCGTGGTGCACGCAGCGGTGTATCGCTGACCACAAGTGTGGCACTGACCCCTTGGATTTTGAGGAAGGGTTGTTTGGCAGATGTCCAGTGGTGTTCATACTGTTTCAATGAAGATGGAAAAAGGACACCTGTGGATAATTCCCCAGCTTTGGACCATCCTCAACTTCCTCAACTGAACTTCCTCAACGCGCCCATGCGGCAAAACCTACAGCTTCAAGATGTCCAGAACACCAGACTTCCATATGACAGACGTCCAGCATTTCGACATCATCTTCATCACCCCAGCCGAGGCAACACACCACTGCCGAGTTACCGCCTCGATTTACCCTATGCTGTGCCCTCCATCGCGCTGAGCGCCACACTCTACAGCACCGCCGAGCGTGCGGAGTATCCGCCCGCCGTGCAGCTGGAAACGGAGCGGCTGGGCGTGAGGATCTGCGTCGGAACGGCGGCCGAACGTGAAAAACGGTGTTTCAGGCGGGTTGAGCGGAGGTAGAGCGGATAATTAGAGCCAAAGCGAGTCGCCCAAACATTTGCTTGCAGAAAGCGAGAGCTGGATCTTTGAAAGGCCTGAGTTGTTGATGGAGGCATTTCTTTGAAATGTCATGTTGCAAACAAGATCGAAAGGTCCAGGTGAATAAGATAACTACTATATGTCTAGGCCGTTCATGTGTGACTGGGGGGGTTATTTTTTCAGGGGCAGCCAGGGTTCTTTGGCTATGCTGAAATGACGGAGTGTAGCTCTTCGGTGACTGTTGGGGCATGATCTGAGTCTATCCATGTGCCGAATCTGGAAATTACTGACGCTAGAGAATCTAAGACACCTGGAATTGTTGTCAGCTGAGCTGTGGGCTTTGAAGGAGCAGGTGTGCCCCATCTCAGACCAGGTGGCCCAATTTTGAGGGATCGTGCATGTTCAGCGAGTCGTTACGCTCCCTTGAGGGCCCGATACGTATTCCTTTGTTACGCTCCCTCTTCCTTCTTCCACTGCTCATCAACCGTATTTGGCAAGTCAACCGGCGGCCACTAGCAGACCACCATTTCACACGTTCGTGCAGCCTTTGTCAAGCAAGGCAACAACAAAGATGCCTTTGTTGAAAAGGTCCCTGGGCCACGTTCGGGGCACGTTTGTTCCATGGGGCCTCCAGGGTTTGCCATCACCGGATGGCGCGGGTTTGCATGCATGCCCACCCTGCATGGGTTTTGCGCCCACGCCCCGAGGCCGGCCGTCAACCGGATTTTTCTTCGCGTGTTCTCCGCCTTCAGCGCTGACGTGAGCGTCGTCTACACCCTCGAGGCCGTCTCTCAAACCGTGCTTTCCGTGGAAATTCCGGGTCGATCGCGCGGAAGGCCGAGGTCAACTGGGGGGCCAGGACACTGCCCCCCAGGCGAAGAGAAGGGGGTATCCCAAGTAACCCATTGTAACTACTGGGCCATGTTGCGGTTGGTTGCGCGCTGGGCCGAAGCCAGCCGGCTTTGAAGCCCTTCGCTCAAAGCGAGGGACGTGGGGATGTGAGGCGTTCAGAAGGGCTCGTCGACAGGTCTGGCATATACTATCATATACTCATCAAGCACCTTAAAGAAAACACAGAAAATAGACAGTCTATTAACCTTTAATCAACAGACTCAGGTGGTAGGATGCGATCAAGGTTCTTCTTTGAATGATACGCTTTGCTGTCTTCAAATTTTTACTGACTGCTCGAGCATAAAGGAAGGTCCAGGATTCGCGGTGAAAAAAGGACCAACATGTTGCGGCGAAATGGTGGCTGTATATTCCGTTTGCTGTGACCATTTACTCCATCACAAGCACGGAGTTTTGGAGGATGTTGACATCGTTTGACATCCTCGATTACAAGCTCTTCTCCATCCAACTTTGACTTGATGCACCTATCTTAGAGCCTTCTGTCCAAACTTCACGCGTGCCATGATGCTTTCATGACCCTGTTTCGGAGGCATTTTTGGTTACTCGCTCTTTGAAGGGACGCTCCGGTACCGGTCGCTCCATGGCTTGATTCCTTCGTCTTCCTTCTACCCACAGCATGAGCACGACGTAGGAGCTCTTCCTCGATTTGGGACCGAAAGGCCTTCAGGCCTTCTCCTCCCCAACCGCGACGTGCGTGGCCGTCCAGCATCGCAGGTGGTTCGAGCGTCCACAACGAGCACCACAACTACAAGCATTACCACGACGTTTGTCGCCAGAAGCATTGTCAGTGACCCGGAAGCTGTTTTTCCTTTTTTTGCGTGGGATGGCTTTCTCGTCCAGGCAAACCAGTAACCAATGATTTGTGTTTTTGCGCCGTCCAGGCAATTGATGCGTCTCCATGTTCTCAGTTTCTGAGATTCACGGGGATATTTTCTTGGAACAATACAACGATCCCATATAATTAGGGTCCATTTCTCCTCAACCACTCACCGCCTCAAATCCAAAAGTGAAAATACCAGTCGGCTGGAATTTGGAGCCAGGAGCTCGGGTGTGCCCTTTTTAGAGTTGCAAGTGGTGGCTGGAACTCTAAAACGTGACGGGAAAGAATTCTACACCGGGCTTTCCATGGTGGCTTTTACTGTGGCGTGGTTGGACATGGAGATACTCAACTACTGGTACCAGGCCCCAGGCCCCTTCTTTGGGTGGTTGGAGACTACCCATATAGCCTCTATAAGGAGCTATAATTAGACACCCTTTAAAGGGTGCCCTGGTATGTGCACTTGCTAAATTCTGGCAACATTTCATCATTTATTGTTTTTTTTATTTATTGCTTTTTTGTTCACCCCTGTATTTGTATTCAAGACGACATACGTTGAGAAACGCCCATTCGAGGTGGCGAGCTCAGTATCATCGTCTCCGACTGCATGGCCTTGTCCACGGATGAGGTCGACCGACGCGTCGGGTCGACCTGAATGAACCTCCCAGCGGAGACGTGGCTTGATGGAGATGTCCAAACAGTAGATGTGGAACAGTAAGCGGTGTTGAACCTGGACTGCTTGCTTAGTTTCTCATATGGTGTGCCTATGTGTGCCTCATCTCCAGCGTCATGCTTTCTTCATGACTCGGAGTTGTCTCAACTTCACAGGACTCTCTGCCCCATTTCCTCCCATCTCCATCTCCTCCATCAGGTGGCTCGGCGCGACCTGGAGCGCGGCCTGGGCGCCTCTTTGGCACTGCCAGCACGCCAGGTGGAGATCACCGACGTGAGGTGCGCCACAAGTCGCCACGCGCGTCCGACCGCCGCGCGGCTGCACAGGCCGAGAAACATCGAGAAATACCATCAACATCGAGCGAAAGCGGCCTATGCGGATCACAACGACCCGGATCACCGTGCCTCGCGCAGCGATGTTGGCTGCTTTGCACAGCATGGGCATCTCCACGAGCACTTCCAGCGTAACCCACTCGACACAAAAGCACGAAGCACCTCCCAAAAAGTGGCCAAACCCGGCAAACACAAGAACACTCCCTGGTAGCCTCTAATCCCGCAACGATTTGGTCTTGGCACTTTTTCAGTGCCACCCACTCCGCGGCACTTCTCACGCATGGGCGCCGCTAACAGCGCTGTGTCGTTGAGCGACGATGCTGCTTGCGAAGCTGTGCTGCGCAAGTTCATCGCGGAGGATGCAGAGCGGGCAGAGCGGCTGCTGCACAGGGCAAATGAGCCGCTTGGAGATGGATGATTCCCTTCTCAATGTAATTAGATTGAGTGAAACTCATGGGTTCCGCACTTCAGAAGTGCATGAAGGGGATCACAAGGGCCCACTATAAAATCTACTAAGAGGATCCATGAGAAGTTTTGGGAACCCCCATTTGCATCCTTTCCATTGCCAAAGGGGTGACCGTCCGAGTCGTCCGAAAACACAGCTCGGGTTCTGGCTGAGTCCGTGCCTTTTTCCTATATTCACTTCTCGAACAAACTCTGGAAAGTGTGCCGCACGATCTTTCAGCGAATTATTATTGACTTCCCTAAGAATCAAGGACCCTCAAAGGTGAAGGTTTTGAGGGTCCAATGATTCTTAGGGATATATGTATATATATATATGTGCAGCATTTCCGCTCTTTGGCTGGTTTTATATTTTATACTGTAGATGACGATGAAGAGGCAGCCATATGCGGAGTTCTATAAGTCGGAGATGATTGACACACCGTTAAGAGGGATGGCAGTCGCAGGGGTTGAGATGATTACTGGACAATCTCTTTCCCCGCTGCTAAGGATCTCTGCATATGCGGAGCATGTAAGGCTCGTCCAAAGCATGTTTCTTCAGTGAATTGGCTCGCAGGTCCAAAAAGCTTCCTCTCCTTGATTCATCCTGGGTGAGTTCAGTGAGTTCGGGTTTGGCCGTTTTTTCGGCGTGCCCTGGACACCGGTTGAGTTCACGGGGTGTCATGTTTCCAATAGTTCCTCAGCAACTCGTTCTTCAGCCTGAAGTATAGGGCACACAATTCGGAATCACATTGTTTGATTCGAGCACTGACATCCACTGACACCATGCTAACAATGGATGGCCCAGCATTTTAGATACATCACCTGCCTTAAACGCCCACTGTCTCACCTTAGTTCTCTTTCGCCACAACGACTCCAACGACTCTTCCACATGTTCCGTGAGGCTGGTGACGGAGGCGCGGAACTCGCACCACCTTTGGACCATGGATGTCAATGGCCTCGATGGCACAAGCTTTCAGCTCCCAGTGAATGAGACAGCCACAGTGGCTTCGACGGCAAGCTCGATGCGTCGCGAGACGCGTCGCGAGTGCATCCGGTTGTTGGCTCGGTGGGGCTGATCTCCGGGCGCAAGTTGCGATGTGGAGACAGATGCGTCACGGAAGTGTTCATCCGCAACCAGCAATGCCTATCTCTCGGATCCCAATCCCAGCAACAGGCACTTTGAGAAATACTTTCACAGGAGGGTTCCCAGTACCAGGCTGAACTCTGAGGACAACAGACTTCATATAGACAGCAATGCAACGCTGAACGCCGAAGGAACTTTGTAAGCACAACCCTGAACTTTGATTTATATCATGCGCGCTGATCGACACAAGTTTGTTGTTCACCTTCGATTGAGAGGCTCCCATGTCCATAGGAAGTCCTTTGATACCTATATAGTATATATAATATATACATATATATACAAGTACTATTAAGTACTCAATCTACTGATCGCGGATGGATTCCACTTTACAGATGTATGCAGTGAGGGGGAACTTGTCCATGAACAGGAGCTTGAGACGGGTACTGGTACCTGGAGATTCCAACTAAATGCAAGTATCCGAAGATGTCCACTAGCTGTACCTGTACCCTGTACCGCCTCTTATTGTGTGAAGTTCACATGACTGGAAGTCCTAGCAGTTGAACTTGAGATCTTAGAGGTTTGAAAGTCTTGCCTGACATTCTTTCAATGGACTTTTCTTGACACCTGGGTTGAGAAGTTGTGCTTTTCCAAACACTCAGCGAAGCCATAAGGTGGGCGACCTGTTCAAGACCATCGCAGCAAGAGTTAACATGAAAGCTGGTCGGCAACTCGTTCTCTTTGCTGGCGATGAAATCCTTGAGGACTTGTCCAAGCCTCTGTTACAAGAAGCACGTGGTCGAGAGATCTCATATGTCGTTCGACAGGTTTGTGCACTGGAGGCAGCGATGGGGCTCCGTAGGGCCATCACAGAAGGGACGAGAGACCACAGGCATGAGGCAGTGATCAATGCGATTGCCAGATTGACCTTCGGCAAGAAGTTTAACCAGAGCTTGAAAGGTTTCCACTTGCCAAGCAACCTGGAGACCTTGACCTTCGGGGAGAAGTTTAATCAGAGCCTGCAAGGTAGCAGCTTACCAAGCGGTCTGCAGGTGTTAACTTTTGGCAGAAAGTTCAACCAGAGCTTGCTAGGTGTCACTTTGCCAAGCAGCCTGCAGACCTT